CTGAGTTCCAACCTCGTTTGATGATTGAGAACCAGGAACGCTGTCTCGTTTGCCAAGGCGTTGAAAATCAGATGGGCTGGACACATAATGCAGTTTGGAGACGATCACTGGACTAGAGCCATTACTGACTGGATTCCACGGGATGTCAAAAGATTGTGTGTCTACCCACCTACAAGATGGTCAGACTTCTTCATTAAGACCCTGAGGTTTGAGGTTCTTCGTGTTCCTGGAGCGAGCAGACATCATTGGGCTACACTAGCACGCAATAGGAACAAGTGGAGACATTACCGCCGCCCGCTTGAGCAAATCGATGAGTAATGGGATGTCAAATGATCAAGTCTACTCCTGAAATTCCTTTCTGCGAGGTGAGACAAGACCCAGTAACCCTGGGTCCCAGGTGCCAGAGGTGGATCAGGAGAAAGTGACTGTCTTTCTCCTCCCCACTTCACATGAGTCACCTGTGGCGCCTACTGGCATCAATTCCTGAGTACAAAGCCAGAAGTAAGCATGCATTTACCACAATTCTGGAGCCTGGTAAAATAGCAGATTGGCCAAGAAAAAAAATCTTTAGTCACTGGTGCAACAATGAGTGCCATTGACCTGTGCAGAAAGGTTGAGAACCACAGTTAGAGATACAGTGGGTAGGGTAGTTGTCTTACACACAGTTGACCAGGGTTAATCTCCGGCATCCCATATGGTCCCCTGAGACTGCCAGGAGTGATTCCTGAATGTAGAGCCAGGAATAAGTCCTGAGCATTGCTGAGTGAGGCCCCTGCCCTCATTTTAAAGAAGAAGATTGGGTCCTATGGGTCTCCTGCCCTCTGCCTGATTAGAACTGCTGGGTATGGATCTGCATGCAGGACTGGTACCATTTGATACCAGGCATAAAAAGTTGAACAGTGGTCTAGATCCAGAAAGATAATACAGTGTACAGAGGTAGGCTACTTGCCTTGAATACAGTTTACCCTAGTTCAATACCAGGCGCCTTATATTGGCTTCTCCTGCCCCACCAAGAATGATCCTTGAGCACAGAGCCAGGAGTAAGCCCTGAACGCAGCTGGGCAATGGTACACACACACACACACACACACACACACACACACACCCAGAACCACCACCACTACCAGAACCACCACCAAAGAGCACTGTCCTGGTGTCCTGGAGCACCTATCTTGAAAGCATACAGTCACTAATTCAAATTCCTAACATCCCACATGTGTCTAGCATGGTCCAGGCAGTATGGTCTGTTTTGTTTGTTTGCTTTTTTGGCCAAACCTGCCAGTGCTCTGAGCTCTGGATCATTCCTGGCAGAGCTTGGCAGACCAGAGCTTCAGGTCAGAGACCTCACAGTGCATTCGTTTTTCCTTTGCATTTTGGGTGCTTGGGGATCACTCCTGGCAGGGCTCTGGAAACTCTAGGGGTTGCTGGGGATCTAACCCAGGTCAACCGCATGCAAGGCAGGTGTCCTCTCCCTGTGCTATCTTATCTCTCTGGTTCCAGCTCATGGTGCATAGCAGCCCTTAGTATGGCAGATAGTGTCTCCAAGGATTCTGTGATTCTGTGCCTCTTGGAATCTTCCAGAAGGCCTACCATGAGAGTATTCCTCAAATATCACTGTCATGCCTTGTTTTCACTTTCTCTGCTATTTTGATGTGGGTCTGGGGAGTGAACCCAGAACCTCATATCTGAGAGGACAGAGCTTTACCTCTGTCCCATGTCCCTAGCCCTGAAGCCATTTCTTTTGTTTTCTTAATTTTTTTTTCTTTTGGGCCACACCTGACCATGCTTAGGGTTTACTATTTCTGGCTCTGAGAAGAGGAATGTCAGCACTCGGGGAACCTTGTGGGATTCCAGGGATCAAACCGGGGTTAGGTGCTTGCAACGCTAATTCCTTACTCACTTTGCTATTGCTTTGGACCGTTTTCTTAATTTTTAAAATTTCTGTCTTTGGACCACTCCCTACAGTATTCAGGGGCTATACCTGCACAGTACTTCAGGTCTAGTTAGCGCATAAGGTGATGAGAATGGAACCTGGGCCACCCACATGCAAAGCACACATCCTATCTGCTGAGCCATCTCCCTGGGACCTGAAACCATTTCTGGTTTTGTCTGTTTGTGGGCTTCACTCAGAGATGCTCAGGACTGACCCCTGGCCCTGCAATCGAGGCTCACTCCGATAGGGTGCCTGGGATTGAACTCAGGTCAGCCATATGCAAAGCAAGCTCTTTCCCTGCTGTTCTGTCCCTCTGGCCAAATGTGGAACATTTGGAAAATCTGTGGGTCATGAAGTCACTGCAAGTTCTGAACAGGGTCCAGAGAGATTGACCAGAAGTCAGATCTGACTCAGGAATCTAGGAACTGTGGCACAGAGGGTAGGGTGCTTGCCTTGCACACAGACGACTCAGTTTCTATTCCTGGCATCCCCATATAGTCCCTGGAGTAGCACCAAGAGTGATTCCTGAGCACAGAGCCAGGAGTAACCCCTAAGCAGCACCGGAGTGGCCCCCCAAAAAAAAACAAAAAGAAAGAATCTAGGGACCAGCTGTGTAGACACCCACCTGTGGATATTGTGGATGCTCTGTTGAGGACAGGGGGCAGAGCAGAAGAGAGACGGTTCCCAGAGGGTGGGGGAGCAGGTGGGCACCACCTTTAGGCTGTGCCAGTTACTCACTCTGCTCCTGGAAAGCTGAGCAAGGAGGAAGGGATGGTCAGAGGGAAGAAATTTGAGGTGGCAGGGTAACAATGGTGGAGGGGGAGAAGGGGTGCAGGGATATGATGATGGATAAAGATTTCCACCTCTGGGGACTGGAGTGATAGCACAGCGGGTAGGGTGTTTGCCTTGCACGCAGCCGACCGGGTTTGATTCCCAGCATCCCATACGGTCCCCTGACCACCACCAGAAGTAATTCCTGAGTGCAGAGCTAGAAATAACCCCAGTGAATCACCAGGTGTGACCCCAAAAGCAAAAATAAATAAATAAATAAATAAATAAATAAAATAAAAAATTCCACCTCTGTCCTCATTGATCTCATTCTGCTCTAGCCTGCCATTACCCAACACTCCCTCTGCTCCTCCTTCCCTCTCTCCCTCCTTTCTTCTCCCCACTCCCTTCACTTCTCCTATCTTCCCTCCTCCCCTCCCTTCCTCTTTCCCTCTCCCTCTTACTCTCACACCTTTACTCCTTTTCTCTCTCCCTCCTTCCCTCCCTCTCTCCCTTACTGCCTCTCGTCCTCCTGCTCTCTCCTTCCCTCCCTTTCTTCCTTCCTCTCTCCCTTCCTCCCTCCATCCTTCTTTCCTGACCTTTCTTTCCTTCTCTCTCCCCTTCTCCCTCCTTTTCTCTCCTCTTTCCTCCCTCTTCCTCTTCTTCTTTCCCTCTTCTCCTCCTTCCCTATCTCTCATTTCCTCTCTCCTTCCTTCCCTTCCTCTGCTCTCCCTCCTTGCCTCTCCTTCATTCTCACCCTTCCTTCCCTCCCTCCTTCCCTCTTTCTCCCTCTTCTCCCCTTCCCTCCCTGCCTCTCTTCTTCCTTCCCTCACTCCCCTTCTCCTTCTGCATTTCTCCCTGTCTCTTTCTTCCCTTGCTGTCTCTTCCTGTCTTCTGTCTTTCTTCCCTTCCTCCCTGTCTCTTCTTTCCCTTCCTCCCTGTCTCTTCCTTCCCTTTCTCCCTCTCTCCTACCTTCCTTCCCTCCCTCCCCCTCTCTTCTGCCCTTTTTCTGTTGTTTGTTTTGGGCTACACCTAACAGTGCTCAGGGTTTACTCCTGGTGGTCTCAGAGATAAAACTCGGTTGCAAGGCAAGTGTCTTTACTTTGACCCCTTCCTACCTGCCTTCTGTGTGGGCACTTGTGTTTGCCAGCTACTGCTTGGTACTCTGGACATACTGAATGCTCAGAATGTACCCATGTGTACGCGCACACACAGACACACACACACACACACACACACACACATCCCTATCTTCAACGTTGGGGACAGGCCCAGCGCCCACATGCAAGGCTTAGTCACAGTCCAGCCCAGCGCCCCCACCTTTTCGTATTTTGGCAGGTTAGTGTCTCACGGGTGCCCCTCCAACCCTCACCCTCCTTTCCGCTCCCAGTCTGATACTGCAGAGGGCTAGATTAGGTTTCTGCACTAAATTCTGAGTCATTAGCACCCTGAATTGAGTTGCTGCCCCTGCATACCATCAAGTTTTCAGTCCTGTCTCCCCAGATTTGTGCCTAGAAAGTTTGGGGCTTCCAGACTTTCGTCCCCAGAAACATCAGGGCTAGGCAGCGCGGCGGAAAGGCCCCCTGAGTTTGAGGACGGAGCTGCGCCCCCTGACGCCCCCAACAGGTTCTGCAGCGTGGGTCCGACACCACCCCCCCGCAGTCTCCCAAGCCCCCCAAACACTTTTTACAGGGGCCCCTTTCAGATCACTGGTGCTGTCCGACATGGCCGCCTTCCCCCCAAAGTGTGGGGTAGAGGTGCGGATCGGGGGAGTGGGGTGCTGGCGCGGGGCGCAGGTCCGCCTTAGGGATGCTGGCGCGGAGCGCGGGTGCAGGTCGGGGGTGCTGGCGCGGGGCGCGGGTGCGGGTCGGGAGTGCTGGCGCGGGGTGCAGGTGCGGGTCGAGGGAGCGGGTCGCAGGTGCGGGTCGGGGGAGAGGGGCGCGGGGCGCGAGTCGGGGGTGCTGGTGCGGGGCGCGGGGTGCGATTCGGGGTGCGGATCGGGGGAGCGGGGCGCAGGTACGTATCGGGGGTGCTGGCGCGAGGCGCGGGGTGCGGATCGGGGGAGCGGGGCGAGGGGCGCAGGTGCGGATCGGGGGTGCTGGCGCGGGGCGCGGGTCGTGGGTGCTGGCGCTGGGCGCAGGTGCGGGCCGGGGGAACGGGGTGCGGGGCGCAGGTGCGAGACCCGGTGAACCCGGATACGGTCCCGCCGTGGGCGGTGCCGGGCTGCAGGTGGGGCGCAGGGCGGGGCGGCGGGGGGAAGGGGCGGGCCGGGCCGGGGCGGGGCGCGGACCGAGGCCGCAGGCTTCAGTTCGCGTCCCGCGGCTCGGGCGCGGCATGGGGCGGGTGCAGCTCTTCGAGATCGTCCTGATGCATGGCCGCACGGTGTACAGCCCCGGGGAGCCGCTGGCGGGAGCCGTGCGCGTGCGCCTAGGGGCGCCGCTGCCCTTCCGAGGTGGGCGCGGTGCGCGCGGGTCGGGCCGGGCGGGCCGGGCGGGCCGGGCGGGCCGGGCCTGGCGGGGCTTCCGCCCCGCGGCCGGGCCGGCCCCTCTGAGGCCCCTCGCGGGCTCCGTGACGCGCCCACCCTCCCCGGGCTCGCGCCGCGCACCTGCCCGCCCGGCGCCTGGCACCCGTGTCGGCCAGCGGGGCCGCTTCTCGGGCGGGCGTCGCTTCCTGCCCGCGGTGCCCAGGTGCCGCCGCTGCTGCGGACGCTTTCACGCGGCGCGGGTGGGGCTCGAGCGGGGTTCTGGGAGGGCCCGCGGCGCTGCGGGAGCCGGCCGTGGGCTGTGCGGGAACCGCCGCCCTCTCCCCCGCGGGGCGGCCAGCCGTGTTCCGGACAGGTCACGCACGCCGCCCCCAGTCGTGCCCACGGCCGTTTGAACTTGTCTGACCACCTCCCCGCCCCTTTCTTGTTTTAGCAGCTGAAGTTTGGGGTTCGCGGAGGGGGTTGGGTGTGGCAGTACTAGGGCCGCGGTGGGGTGGGACTCGAGTGGGCGGGGAGGCACCAAAGGCCCCTGGGCTCTTTTGTTCCTCCGGGGTCCAGCCAGCTTTCTACGTCTCCATGGGATTCCCGGCTTGTGGGTGCCTCTTTTTAACCCATATGGTCAGCCCCTCCCCCATTTTTTCCAAGGCCTGTGCTGTGAGTAGCCCCCCAGCCCCAGCGGGTGTGGCCTCGAAACCAGAAACAAACCGGAGGCCTGCTGGCTGAAAAATGAGAGAGCTTTGGGGCCGCGTGTAGTACAGCAGGGCGCTGTACCTTGCCCGTCCAGTGATTTCTGAGTGCAGTCAGAAATCACCCCTAAGCACCTCTGGGTGTAACACCCAAACCAAAATTTGATCAATAAAAGAAGAAATGGGAAGCTTTGCTGGCACACTGGGTCCTGGGTACGGTAATGCATGGTGCACTGACACCCCAGCGCTGTGTACACCCCTGTGCCACAAAACCCAAAGGATAGCCCTTGAGCTCCTGCTGCTGGCCCAGAGAGGATGGACAGGTGGCGTGTCTGCACTGCCTCCAGCGAACACAGTGATCCCAGGCACCTCCAGGCATCAGCTCTCCAAAGCTTGGACCAGGAAGCTGCTGGGGCTGGGGGCTCACCCAGTGCTGGGGGTGTACTTGGGACTGGAGGGGTTCCTGGGACTGGGGGGGTTTCTCGGGACTGGGGATTTACCTGAGATTGGGGTTTTACATGGGCCGGAGGGTACCTGGGACTGGGTGGGTGCCTGGGACTGGGGACTTACCTCAGGCTGGAGGGTAGCTGGGACTGTGGGGGTACACCAGGGACTGGGGAGTAACTGACTGGGGAGGTACCTGGGACTAGAGGTGAACACAGGCTGGGGATTGTACCCAGGATCAGGGGTATACCTGGGGTGGGGGGTGTACCTGGGGCGGGGGGTGCACCCAGGGCTGGGGTTATACCCAGGGTTGGGGGTACTCAGGATGGGGGTGTACACAGGCTGGGGGTTGTACTTGGGACCAGGTTATACACGGGGTTGGGGATGCCAAGGATAGGGGTGTACCCAGAATGGGGCATGTCCCCAGGACTGGGGGTACCTGGGACTGTGGGTATACACAAGCTGGGCGGTGTAGCCAGGACTGTGGGGTACCCAGACTGGGGGTGTACCTGGGGTTGTGGGGTAATCAGGATGGGGGTGTACCCGGGACTGGGGGTGTTCCCGGGACTGGGGGCGTACACGGGGGGGGGTGTCTCTGGGGTGGGTGGTGCACATGCCGCTGGTGGCAGTTGAAGTGGCTGTGCACAGAGGCTGTGGGAGCTCGCCCCTGGCTTTGCGAGTTCAGTGTGACTGGCCACCTGGCCCAGCCACACTCCCAGGGGAAGGGTCCATGAGTGCCTTGCCAGGTGGGGGTGGGGCAGTTCTCTCAGCTCAGGAGGCAGGACAGAGCTTTAGAGGAAGGCTGGCAAAGGCCACTCTGCCCCAGGTTGTGGTAGGGTGGTCGAGGCCTTTGGGATCAGATTGGGAAGTGGGTGGGCGAGGTCAGGAGGTAAAGGGAGAAGACTCCTGGCTCTGAGAAGACTCAGAGCCTCTGGACCCTGGTCCCGCCAGATTGTTCTCTGGTGATTTCCAAGTGTGGATACCCCTGTTCACCCTGTACTCTGTCTGCACACTGCTGGACCCATATCTCGCTTCTGCCCGAGGCCTGCCTGATGGCGGCCTCCTCAGTATGTCCCCACGGGGTGCACCAGTGGGTGGGGTGCAGTGCAGCGAGGGGGTGTGAGCATTATGGGGCTGTGCGGTGGGGTCGTGGAGTGCCCAGCAGCTGCTGCAGTGGGTGGGGCAGGCTGTGCCGGCTGTGGACAGTGTGACTCTGGGCTCCTGGGCTGCAGGGTGAAGCCCTTAGGGGAGTCCATCGCAGAGCTCAGCTGCTGCTTCCTGTGACCTGAGCGCCTTCTTCCGACAGCCTTCCTCCCACCCTGCCCTGTCTCCTAGCTTCCCTGTGAGGGTGGACACACCACCTCTGAGTGACCACTTTCCACCCTCAGTGCTTTCAGGCCACTATCCTCTGCCCCTCGGGGGTCTGCAGGTGGTGGGTGGTGGTGCCTTCCTGGTCGCCTGTGGTCACTCAGCCTGTGTCTCCCAAGTGTGTGTGCCCAGCCTCTGGCCTGGCTCTCGCAGGGTATGGCGGCTAGGATGCAGTGGGCAGAGGAAGGCCTGCAGGGGTTCTAGCACCTTGCCCTGACTGACCTCGATGCTGGCAGAATAGCGACCTCTGTTGTGAGGGTTCTGGGAGCTGAGTGGGGCTGTGCCCACTGCTCGGTGCCAGGCTGCGGGCACCTTATCTGCTTCAGCGGGTCTGACTGCATTCCTACAGCCTGAGGGGAGCAGTCAGTTTCCTGGAGCAGAAAGGGGCTGGGGCACCTCCCTGCTTGCAGAGGTGGGGTCAGAGGTCAGTGCCTGACTTCTGCCAGCTGCCAGGGAGGTGGGCATGGACCCAGGGCAGGGGACTCTAGGGGTTTCTCGGGGACTCACACTGCCCCCGTTGCAGCCATCCGAGTGACCTGCACGAGTTCCTGCAGGGTGTCCAGTAAGCCCCATGACACGGCCTGGGTGGCAGAAGAGGGCTACGTGAGCAGCTCGTTGGCGCTGGCTGACAAGGGTGAGTCCCACGTCTCAGCTTCCTTCCTGGGCCCATGCTCAAGGACAACCCCAGGCAGCCCTGCCTGCCGGCATCACCTCCCAGCCTCCTACCTGAGTCCCCTCTCCGCTCAGGGGTCCTGCATTTCCACCACTTCTGGGTCCTGCACCCCACCCCTCCTGTACCCCCATTCCCATCCTGGACCCCCTCCGCCTCCTGGACCCCCCTCCCCTCCTGGATCCCTCCTCCCCTTCTGAACCCCTTCTCCCCCTGCTGGACCCCCCCTCCCCTCCTGGATCCCCTCCCCCTCCCCCTCCTGGACCCTACCTTCCATACTGCCTACCTGTTTCAGACAGTGGAGGGGCCTGCCGGGTTCCACACTCACCTGGGCACCGCTGTCCTCTAATGGCCCCTCTTTGGTGGCTGGGCAGAGGGCCACCTCCCCCCCCCCCCCCCACACACACACACTTCTGTACTTGTCTGCAGGGAGCCTGCCTGCCGGAGAGCACAGCTTCCCCTTCCAGTTCCTTCTCCCTGGTGAGCTCTGCCCAGCAAGGCCTGTGTGTGGGCTGTGGGGTGGTGGGGAGGTGGGCCAACCCTGGTGCCAGCACCTGCCCTTTCCAAGCCACAGTGCCCACGTCCTTCGAGGGCCCTTTTGGGAAGATCATCCACCAGGTGCGTGCCACCATCGATACACCCCGTTTCTCCAAGGACCACCAGTGCAGCCTCGTGTTCTATGTACTCAGTCCCCTGAACCTCAATAGCATCCCTGACATTGAGGTGAGGATGGGGCCCCTGGCAGGTGGGACCAGCTGGGCCTGGAACTGCAGCTACGGTGCTGGGTTCTGGGTCCAGCCGCTCACTCTGGCCAGTTTCCGTCCTCTGCCCTGCAGCAACCCAATGTGGCCTCCACCAGCAAGAAGTTCTCCTACAAGCTGGTGAGGACGGGCAGCGTGGGCCTCACTGCCAGCACCGACCTCCGTGGCTACGTGGTTGGGCAGGTGCTGCGGCTGCAGGCAGATATTGAAAACCAGTCAGGCAAGGACACCAGCCCCGTGGTGGCCAGCCTGCTGCAGGTCAGCACCCTCTGCCATGGGGTGGGGGGCTGGGTGATATCCCAGCCCCCAGACTCACTGCTGCCCCTTCCCCAGAAAGTATCCTATAAGGCCAAGCGCTGGATCTATGACGTGCGGACTATCGCAGAGGTGGAGGGCATGGGGGTGAAGGCCTGGGGCCGGGCGCAGTGGCAGGAGCAGATCCTGGTGCCCGCCCTGCCCCAGTCAGGCCTGCCGGGCTGCAGCCTCATCCACGTGGACTACTACCTACAGGTGCGGGCAGGGCGGGACTGGGGGGGCGGAAGGGGCTCGGCCCCTCACTGTCTCCCCTTCCCAGGTCTCGCTGAAGGTGCCGGAAGCCTCGGTGACCCTCCCTGTCTTCATCGGTAACATCGCGGTGAACCACGCCCCGCTGAGTCCCCAACCTGGCCTGGCGCCGTTTCCTGGCGCCCCTGTGCTGCCCTCAGCGCCACCCCACGAGGAGGCTGAGGTGGGAGCCTCCGGGGCCCAGTGCCCGGGCCCTGTCTCCCTCTCCACTAAGAGCCACTCCCAGCAGCAGCACCCGGTGGTGGCCTTCTGCTCTGTGCCTGGTGCCCCTGAGCCTCATCCTCAGGTTGGCAGCCCTGCCCCGCCCCCGCTGCCCCCTCCTCTGTGCATCTCCACAGGTGCCACTGTGCCCTACTTTGCAGAGGGTTCTGGGGGGCCTGTTCTCACCGCCAGTACCTTGATCCTCCCTCCCGAGTACAGCTCATGGGGCTGCCCCTATGGTGAGTGGGGACTGGGGACTGGGGACTGGGAGGGCGTGCCCCGAGCCCCCTGAGGACCTAGTTCTCTCCCTGCAGAGGCCCCGCCTTCTTATGAGCAGAGCTGTGGCCAAACCAGCCCGACCCCCCGAAGCTGACCCCAGCTGCCTTCTGTGCGGGCTGACCTCTGCCCTGGGACCTTGGCTCCCTGGGCCTTGTGCCTTGGCTCTAGTCCAGCCCAGCCCATTCAGGACCCTCACAAGTCCAGTGTGCCTTGTCTGTGCCACATTCAGACTGGCCGCTGCAGCTACGGGTGTTGCTACCCACCCCAGGGCTGAAGACACGCATGTAAATAAAATGTTCATTTATAGCACTGGGCCCTGGCGGGCTTTTCTGCTGCTCTGGGGTTCTGTGCGGGTATGGGGCACTCCTGGGTCAAACTGGCATGTGACCTTTGGTGTTAGTTTAAAATCCTTACTGGGATTGGGGCCAGAGATAATACAGTGGGTAGGGTACTTGCCTTGCACATGGCTGACTTGAGATGGATCCCAGGCCCCTCATGGTCTCCTGAGCCCTACCAGGAGTGCACCCTGAGCACCACTTGTTGTGGTGGCCCAGAAACAATTTTTTACTGGGATTCGAGGAGACTGCCACTTTAAGTAAAGCCTGCATTGGCCCTGGCCCCTCTCCAGGGCACCACCTTGGTACCCCCATCAAAGTATCATGGAGAAGTCCATTCACAGTCACACCCCATCTTGTCCAGAAGCTTCCCAGCTGTGGGGGGAGGTTGCAGGTGAAGGAGCTGTGCCACTGGGGGTGCTTGCCCTGTACATGGTTGACCTAGGTTTGATCTACAGCACTGCAGAGAGATATCTCCAGAGCTCCAGCAGGAAGTGATCTTGGAGCACAGAGCAGGAGTAAGCCCTGAGTACTACCAGGGTGGCCCTCAAACCCCAAAAATCAAGACAAAAATACCCCACCCAAAAATACTGGGAGAGGGAGCTGGAGCGATAGCACAGCGGATAGGGCGTTTGCCTTGCACATGGCTGACCTGGGTTTGATCCCTGGCATCCCATATGGTCCCCCAAGCACTGCCAGGAGTGATTCCTGAGTGCAGAGCCAGGAATAACCCCTGAGCATCGCTGGATGTGATCCAAAAAGAAAAAAAAATACTGGGAGATAGTGTGGTCATTGGCAAGTGGCCCATTAGACTGAGGGGGCCTTCAAGCCCAGCCTCCGCCGGCATCAAGGGGCTGAGGGAGCTGTTCTCCCAGCTCATTGCTCACACCCCAGCTAGAAAGTGCGTTTGGGGCTGCACCCAAGGGTGTCAGGAGCTACTCCTGGCTCAGAGCCCAGGGGTCTCTCATAAGGGTACCAGGGATGGAGCCTGTGCCTCCATCACGCCAAGCCCACGCTACAGCTCTCCCCTGGGCCCTGGGAGGGGAGCTGGAGGTGTATTTACCATTAGGGGCCAGAGGAAGGATAGCAGACCCAAGGGCTTTGGCATCTAGCTAAAGAGGCCCAATCTCCATCTGGGACATGGGGGCGGAGGGCAGGCGGGGTGTGTGTGTGTGGGAGGGGAGTGGGGGGGGGATGACAGGAAATCCCTCCTGGTCTGCCACACAGAATGCAGGTGGGGGACCGGTCAGGCTGACACAAGTAGGCCTGCTGTTTTGGATAAGCCACTGTGTGTGTGGGGTGGGGCTGCAGTGCCAGGGATGGAACCTGAGGTCCTGAGCGTGCCAGGCGTGGCAGCTGTGGTCTTGAGTTACCCCCACCCCTACCCCTCGCCTTTCTCTCCACTTGTTTGTTCAACAAATATTTGCCTTCTGCATGCCAAGCACTGCTCTGAGCCCTTGGGTACACAGAACAAACCCTCCTGACTGGCACTTTTTTTGGTGGCGGTGGTGGGGGCATACTGAGCTATGCTCAGGGACCATATCTGGTGCTGGGAATCAACCCTGGGCTGGGCATGTGCAAGGCAAGCTTCTTACCTATTGCCCTGTTAGGCTCCTGGACCCCAATCTAGGGGGAAAACAGGCAATGTGCTAAGGTTGTGGGTATGGGCAAACTACTAAATCAAGGAAATTGTGGGCGCAGTATTTTTATGTAGTTCTCCCAGGTAGTGCTTAGGGGGCCCTGGACCGCTTGGAGTTGGATAGGCTCAGGCGAATGCTCAGGCACTTCAATGCTCAGGCCCAGGGTGGGAAAGAGAATGCAAGATCCCGATTCCATCCCCAACACCCCACAGACCCCTAGCACCACTCTGAGTGGTCCCTTGCTCCCAACACATCCCAGTATCACACTGCACCCTGTGGGGGAGGGGTAGGCAGCATTACCTCTAAATAGAAGGGGGGCTGGTTGGAGAGACAGTACAGCAGGAGGGAGGGCACATGCCTTGAATGTGGCCGACCTGGGTTGTATCTCCAGCACCCCGTATGGTCCCCTGAGCATTGCCAGAAGTGACCCCCGAGAGCAGAGCCAGGACTAAGGCCTTAGCACAGCCGGATGTGCCCCCCCAACAAAAGTAGAAAGGGGAGTTCCCTTTCCCTCATACAGTGGTTCAGAAGGGGGGCCGGAGCGGTAGTACCGTGGGGAGGGCGTTGGCCTTGCACGACCCGGTGTCCCATAGTACCCGAGCACCGCCAGGAGTAATTCCTGAGCGCAGAGCCAGGGGTAACCTGAGTATCGCCGCTATGGCCCCCCAAAAAACCCACAACCACCCGGTGACTTAGAAGACTCAAGGACGGTCGCTACAGAGGTCGAGGCAGGAGCATTTCTCCTTGGAGGTAGGCGTGGAGGAGCGCGCACCATCCCTGGACTCCGCTGCCCAGGGAAATCGGGGCGTCTCCTGGCCCTCAGTGCCCAGCTGCCCACTCCCGAGGTCGGCCTTCGGCTAGCTCAGTGCTCCTCACTCGGGCTGTGGAGACTGGCCGGGAACCTCAATTTCCCCCGGCACTCCCCGCGAAGGGCGGGGTCCAGGGAGGCTCGGGAAGGGCAGCCGGTTCGTGGGCTCCCGAGGGCAAAGCCGGCGATCAGTCAGCCGGCGGCCCTCAGGGCCGCCGCGCCCGCCCGGGTACCGCCTCCGGGAGGAGTGTCGGCCTCCGAAGCCGGGGTCGCGGTTCCCCGGCCGCCGCCTCCCGGATCCGGCGGCCGCCGCCGAGCGCAAGCGCGGGCGCGGGCGCAGGCGTAGTGGCGCGCGGCTGGAAGCGAGCGCAAGCGCGGGCGTGGGCGCAGGCGCAGCGGCGCGCGGCCGGAAGCGAGCGCGCGGCGCGGCGCACGGGGCGCAGGCGCAGGCGCTGGCGCAGGCGCAGTGGAGCGGCCGCCCCGCCCGGCGGGGCCGCGAGGGGCGGGCGGGGCGATGGCGCGCGGGAGGGGCGGGGCCACGCTGCGGGCCCGGGCCATGGCCGCCGCCGACGCCGAGGTGAGGAGCGGGCGGCGGCGCGGGCGACGGGCGCGGGGGACGCGGGGGGCGCGGGCGCGGGGCGCGGGGACGGCGGCGCGGCGGCGGCGCCGGGCCGGGCCGCACCTCCCGGCGCCGCGCGCGCCTCTGGCCCGCCGGGCCGCGCCTCAGGCGTGCGGGCCGCACGGCGCGGGGCGCTCTGCGGGGGCGCGGGGGGCGCCGAGACAAAGGGCGGCGGGCGGCCGGGTCGGGGGGCGGCGGCGGCCTTGCGACCCGCGCCCCCTTGGGCCCCGGCGGCGGCGCGGCCCGCCCGCTCCCTTTGTTAGTGGCTCCCGGCGCCGGCCCCGCGCGAGCCCCGCGGCCTCCGCGGCGCGGGACCCTGCGGGCCGCGAGTCCGCCGGGCCGCCCCGGCGCGCAGCCCCGGCGGGGGGCGCAGGGAGCACGTGTCGGGCGGGCCCTCTGCGCCGCCCCCGGCTCGCCGCTGCCGCCCGGTTAAATCGGCCGAGCGGACACTTGAAACTTTTCTGGTTGCATCTTTATCCTGCCCTCCTCCCTTGACCTAGAAAGCTGGTTTCACCGCGGGGGCATGGAGCGCCGGGCTGGCGGGGTCCTTGCACCCCACCCCCCCCTCAGTCCTCCCGGGACGGAGACGCGCTTTAGGATGCTGTGGGGTCGACCCGGGTGGGGGTGGCGCGGCCTTTCGCGGGAGGGGCCTCTGCTCCGGCTGCCTGGCTACTTTGTATCTTTTCACCTTATTACTTAGTTCTCAGAGTAATCCGCGTACGCCGAGTTCAGGAAGTTTGGGCCGGCTCGGGGGACAGACAGCTCAGCGGAGTTGGAACGCGGCCCTCGCTTGCGGAGGAGCTGGGTCGTCAGTAACGGAAGGTCGTAGTGCTCCCGTTAGCGCCACGTACTTGTTGTGTTTTGTTGTTTCTTTATGTCGCGGGGAGTGGATGGGAGGGGTCATACCAGGCCCGTGCTCCTGACGAAAGACCATGCCCAGCCCAGGACTGAACTCAGCCTCGTTGCCTGCGAAGCATGTGCTCCTGCGGTCCGCAGGATGCTCTCTCTGGCCATGCAGGCCTGTGCTTTTGAACTCGTTTTTCCCCCTGTAGTGCAGGGATCAAAATCAGGGCCGCACATGTGTGCGAGGGATGTTCCAGTGCTACCTCCTGGCCCACTAAAGGACATTTTACTTACTAAAAAGAAGCCTTTTTTTTTTTTTTTTTTTTTTGGCGGGAGCATCAGGTATTATCACTGGCCCTGTGCTCAGCAGTGACCCCAGGGACCATATGTGGTGCGGGACATTTCGACCACAGTTGTAGCTTATCTTCTGCAGTATCTTTCCAGCTCTGAAGGACTTTTTGTTTTTGCTTTTTGGTTCTTTTTGGGCCATGCTCTGCTCTGCTCTGCTCAGTCAGGGTTTACTCCAGGCTCTGCACTCAGGGATCACTTGAGACTTGGAACTGTATTGGATGGCGGGGATCAAACCTGGGTCAACCGCATGCAAGACAAGCACCCCAGTAATCTCTCTGGTCCCAAAATGGCTTTAATAAGTTGCCGGTTTTCTAGCTTCTCTAGGTAGGAGCACATACTTTTCATGTGCGATTTTGGCTTCAGTTTCCAGCGTTGTGTGGTTGTCCTGGGGGTGACCCCTAAGCACCTATGAGTGTTGTGCCCTAAAACCAGAAAAGAAAATAGAGCTTTGTTTTCACTGCCCTTCTTAGAGAGTCTGGCATGTAGTTTCCCAACTTTTTCCTCAGTGTGGCCTTGTTCTATGTTCTGAAGCTTGGTTAAGGGGCCAGAGAAGAAAAGGGTCTTCTCATCCTTTAGGGAGTAGTTTTCACCTAATATCCCTGTTTTCCAGTTTGGAAAC